TGTGATACCCTGAAGATTATGCCTTACAGCAACTGTGGTTCCCACATGGACAAAAGGAAAGGACAATGATCACTGGAATGGTGAGTCTCAACAGCCTCCCTGTTATCATACATTTTGGATGTTTTCCCTCAGGAAGACAACACACCTCTCATGGTGACATCTTGTCTGTCCTGCAAACAATCTGTTAACCTCAATAAACAATCCCCTACCACCACTATATATCTCCTATATGGATTGATAGAGGCCATTCCATGTGCTGAATCCTCCAAGGTCACCTGCACATTCTCTGGTGACTGGCACTTAGGTTCTTGTTCCTGTTCCTTATATTCACCAATAAGAGAGGGTTTCAAATTTATTCTGTAGCTCCAGATTTACAGAATGTTTACTGGTCTTTCTACTTTTATGTTTCAAATTCTTCCAAATGTCTATCTCTTCCTCAGACACATCCCCTGTGTATTTTACATACAGGACAATCTGCTCTGCTCCAAGGACATCCCATGCTCCATAATATGCTGGAAAGTACAGTGTTCTTTCACTTATCATGGGTGTTACATTCCACGACCACCCGCGAAAAGTGAAAATCCGTGAAGTAGGATATAGTTATTTTAATATTTATACATTATTTTAGTAGTTATACACTACTTTCAGTCTTTATAAACTCTCCCCCCACACACATACACTATATAACCCTTCTTGAACATGTTGTTCACATAATCCTCAGCCTCGGCTTTATCCGCAGAGGCAGCTTCTCCATACAGACAAATGCTCTTAAGTCCATACTGTAAAACCGCAAAACTGCAAGTCTGCGAAAAGCGAACCGCGAAGTAGCAAGGGACCACTGTAGATACATGGGCTTCAAGTTGCTGGACTTTGTCTTCTAATAGGGCAACCAACTTATACTTGCTGCAGGCTAGTCATCCAGCAAGAACGTAAGCACACCACAGCTGTTACACATGACCGCAGTAGCTCCCTCGCCATTTGTATTTAGTAGTCTTATGCAAGCATTGAAAAAAGAACTCTGGGCTTCCCTACAAAATTTCCCTAGTAAACACCCATGCAAGACTTGTGTTGACCTTGCTTGTTGGCTCAGCACCTGCTCCTATACGATGGCACTATGTACAGCAAAGAAATCCTTCTTCACTGCTCCTATTGAACCTACAAATTAATGTCCTATTCGGGAGCCTTCCCTAATGAATCTACAGCCTTCAGCACTTCACTATGATGCTTTAAATGATCACTTTATAGATAAAATCTCTCAGATAAGAGCTGACTTAGAGGCTATCATTATAGTAGATGTATCAAATCAAGTGTCCAGTGATTCTGTAAGATTGCACTGGATGAATTTCAAATGGTGGGTATCACTGATATGCACAAGATGCTAGGGCAAACAATAAAGTCATGTCCTTTTGATCCCTATCCTTCTTGGCTGGTCATCCAGGAAGAAGATGCAATTAGATCTCAATTACAATATGTTGTTAAAGTATCTCTCAAGGAAGGGAGTTTTTCCTCTTGTTTAAACCACTTGTGCAACCACTTCTTTAAAAGCTTTCCCTGGACCTCTGGATTTTAACAGTAGTTGAAGGCTAGTATCACAACTTCCTTTTCTGGGCAAGGTGATTGAAAAGACAACTGCCTTCCACTTCCAGCCAGTCCTGGCTGAAACACACTTTCCAAACTCAGTTTCAGAACAGGACATGAGGTGATGTGTCACCATGGTTTCCTTTGTGGGTGATCTTTGCCTATGCACTCACGGCTGCATTTGGAACTCTCAATAGTGCTTAATACCATCAACCATGGTAGACTTCTGGAATGCCTGGTGGGTTTAGAAATCAGAGGCACTGTGTGCTTTAGTGGTTCTAGTCTTACTCTCAGATGGTGGTGCTTGGAGATAGCTCAGGCATGGGAAAATTCTGGCCCTTCAGTTGTTAGGATTGTGGAAGTTGAAATCCAAAACAACTGGAGGGCCAAAGTTTGCCCATGTCTGAGATAGCTACTTCCCAAAAAGAATCTCCAATACTATTTAACATTAAATTTCTGGGAGATAATATCCAGAGACATGGAGTTAGGTGCCATCAGTATGCCGAACCCAAATATAACTTCAGTAATAGCTAGGATACCATATCTCATCTAAATGAATATCTGTTATACCAGCTGCACACTTTCAGAGAATTGGAGGACCTAAAGATGGTAGTACACAACTGGTAATCTCAAGGTTGGACTTTCACAATGCGGTGTACATTGGGGCTAACCTCGTACCAAGTTCAGAAATGTGAATCAGATCAAAACATGACAACCAGATTGGCTATAGGTATATCCAGGAGTGAGCAGATCACAGTGATATAAAAATCACACCACTCACTGCTAATTAGTGGATAAAATAAAAAGTGTTGGTTATTAACTTTAAAATCCTAAATGGTTTGGATCTGATTATTTACAATATTACTGTGTCCTTCACAACATATACCCAGATCCCATGGAAGACTTCTACTGGATATACACATGGATTTTGATATGATCCATGGATAGGTCGAGGATCAGGAAAGGGAAAAGTGCTGCTGCCTCAGGGGGTCAGTTGCCCCTGCTGCTATTTCCCCATCCAGGCATGAAAAAGGCCAGAAGCGGCACTGCAGCAAAGAGAGTAGAGGGTGGTGCTTCTTTGATGTTGCCCCAGAATAGCTAAGCTCTCACCTTTTGCATCTCTACTCAGAGAAGTAAATGACTTCTCTTTTGTTAAGATTTAAGATACTTACACTGATCCACAGGTAAGTTGATTTGTGACTTTTTAGTATTTCTAGATTTGTACACAAGCATATACAGTACTTCAGTCAGCCAAAACTAGACAGACTGTTAACCAGTCTCTCTAGGAGTAACTACTGCTTCCAACAGTGTGGCTGTATTCTCGTGTGTCACAGACAGTCCAGATAATAAAAAATCTGATGAACTTGGCACGTGTTTGTTGAGGGGTATATAGAAGGATACAGGCATTGACAGAACTTGGCTCCAGACATTGAGGCCTATAAGGAAGATACCAGTATCTTGAATGTGCCTAGAAGAAATTCTGTAGGGCTTTGTCATGTGGTTGGCTGACTTGTAAGTCGGCTCTGCCCTTGACCAGCTGAGACTCCTCAAAATTCTAGGATGCCTTGCAGTAACATACGGTTGATGTACTGGAAAGCCTTTTTATTCTTCATCATGTGATTTGCCCTTCAGCTGCTGGCTTGACAACATATTTTATTACGTATTTGCTATGAAAGAAAAAGGCTTTGGAGCTGGAGAACCAGGACATTTTTCTAAAAAAAAAGAGAGTCTTCCTGGCAGGACTGAAGGAGTACTATTTGGTTTTCAGACAGTGGAAATGTAGAGCTCTCTGTGGTCACTGCCAGCTATTAATATCCTGCTTCTTAAACTTTGCAATTTTCCCTGTAAAAATAGAAAAAAACCTAAAACAAAACACTACAGCCATAGAGTGGGGGTGCTCTTCTTTGCTGCTAGGGACAACCACCGAAACTGACGTTTAAAGTAGGTGGGGAGTTTCTGCTAAATATACTGTAGTTATGAAATCCCAGTTTCTTGCAGCTATCATATTTAGCTTTTCAAATACTCAGAGAAATAGGCAGGTAGGAAGGGAGGGAGAAGCTAGAATACATATAATCTCTCAGCAATTTTGTTGTGTTTACTAGTGGCAAGAGACAGTGTTGTCCCCTCAAGCGTGGGAGTTGTGGTGGAAATCTTGCTGTCAGGCAATATAATTTTCTTCATCCTTGGTTTGAGATCTCCAAGAAAGCAGATTTCCAATGGCATTACGACTTTTGGCTTAGAGCTACAACTGTTGCACTTCTAGTTTCATCTTGCTATGCTATTTGGACAAGCAGCACAATGAAGTCTCTGTATGACCTGAACATGTCAGAGTGCCGATTCAGCTTTCTGGTTACTTAAAACAACAACGACAAGCAAAAGTAGGGGATGTGTTATTTTTGGAGTGTGGTACATTTCCCCCCTAACAAAAACTATTGGATTAAAAAGGAGTGGAATAGACAGAAATACATGACATAATTGATTATTTGTTGATAGACTTTTTCAAGGTGTATTTCCACTAAAACAAAATGAATAAAAAGGTATTACTCAGAATAACAAGTGGTATTAGCTTTTTACAATACATGGTGATATGTATTTTACATATACAAACAAACTTGAGGGTTCAGAAGGATTCATTTTTGTTAATATTAATTACATATTTTGCCCATATTTTAAATAAGGTGCAGCTAATTTTAATAAATATACAGGAGTAGACTGAATTTAACCAAGTACTAAAATGCAATTTGAATATACAGAATGTTGAGTTCTGAATAGAAATGCCTTTAATCTGGAGAAGACCAGATTAAAGTTCTGTGGAAAGGAGTTCAAGAGGATGGGAGCAGTCACTGAGAAGGCTTTGGGCCTAAACCATATAAGGCTTTATAGGTCATGGCCAGTACTTTGAATTGTGTCTAGAAATGAACCAGTAATGAGTACACTCTTTTAGCAGGAGAGATATCTTCCCCATAACAGCATTCTGACTGCAGCATTCTGCATCTGCTATAGTTTCCGAACAGTTTCCAAAGGCATCTATGAAACCTTTCCCACATGTTGCCAGAAGATGCATAACTCCAAAATAGTCTTAGTAGTTAAGACTTTTGTGATACTTAGGAGAGTCCTGGATACACAGCCAGGAAGAAGCATACAGACTTAGTTTAAACATATCAAGTTGTTGTTAAGAATGAAATGGTAGAAAAGGATCAATAAGTTCAAAGGATATTTGGACACAGTCTCCAAATCTGGTTATAAATGCGGCCAATAGGCAGTTTTGTCTAATTTAGAAATTTTACTCACCGTATGCAGTCATAGTCATAGAAATGGTAGAAAAGGATCAATAAGTTCAAAGGATATTTGGACACAGTCTCCAAATCTGGTTATAAATGCGGCCAATAGGCAGTTTTGTCTAATTTAGAAATTTTACTCACCGTATGCAGTCATAGTCCCAACATAAGGCCCATCCACCACATTCCTATTCTCTTCTGCCAGTGCTTTTATATATCTTTTACTGAGGTCCAGTATTTGCTCACGAAGCACTGAACTGCTTTCATGCTGAGTCTTCTGTTGGATAGTAAAATGCAGAAGCATCATTCCCCAAATGAAGCCAAAGGTCACCAGAAAAAAGCCAAGTTTCTGAGAAGACAACTTCCAAGGAGTAAAGAATGCCATGGCTGTCCAACCACCTCCGCAGTCACTTGGAAAAGCTGTAACAGCCAAAATCTAAGGTGTCAATTCATAGTCTAGTCCAGTAGCAATCACAATTCAGAAGCTATTCACTCTGGCTCCTTAGTCAATGTATTGTCTCCTTCCAATCCAATCCCGCTGCTGCAAGAGAAAAGAAAAACATATGGTCATTTAAAGTTGCAAAGTACCTGTCTCAAGCTGTTTTTGGGTTTCTTTCATTCTTCTTTCCCCCCACCACCAGGGCAGGACAATATACTTGTTCTGCATTTTTTTAAAAAAATGTTACAAATCAATAGTTTATAACAAATCAAAACAGAAAGAGTTCAGACAGAAAGTAATTGGAAATGCACCAAGAACTGTGTCTCAACAGATGCAGAATTTACCTTTCAAAAGCTTGGAACTAATTCAACACCACAAAAAGTTTCCAGTCTAAATTTCTAGGCAATGCCACTTCATGTGCCAGGAGCGGGGAGGGTTTACATCTTGAAAAGAATATGCCAATGCAGCAATACTTTTGTTCCCTCCAGCCCTTTCAAATAAGCCTGTGGTTTTTGTAAGAACAATGACAGATAAGCCAGACTTCAGTGGACACTCCCATGGAAAGAAACAGAAGTTAATTTGCATTTTCCCAATTTAGAAAAAGATAGCTGGAGCTCAGAAGCCCAGAAGACAGTCACCTATGACTGCTATCCCATTTGAAAATGCCCACAACTGACCGCTGCAAAGATCCGAAAGACCTGAAAAGCATTATGTGGCCCTTTGAAAATTTAAGGCAAGGTTCATGATCTGCAGCTTTCTGGATCCTGTTACATTCCTTGCCACTCCCAGCTCTATAGCTGAGTACCAGTTTGCATCCAAAGTGGGTTTATATCCATAAAATCTCATGTGAAAATAAAAACCGCTTTGTCTTAAAGGTGCTTGCACCATCCATCCATCCATCCACCCTCCCTTCTTTTTCTGTCCACAGTGCCACGGTATCAGAGGCCACTGTGGAAAGAGTGTATTATTTTCAAAATATGGCACTGAAGTCTTAGCATTTTTTCCTAATATTTCAACATTAAAGATAGTGCACAAAAAACAGGTATTCTTCTATTTACAATTTTCCTTACTTTTCTCCTAAAAATTGAGCTCAAGGCTCACATTAATACTGAATAGAAAGTATAACTAAAACACAAAAACATATCACTAAGCAAACTACAGCACCCAGGTGGTCTTTCTTCAGCAACCAATCTGTTGCAAATATGGATTGCAGAAACAAACGTAAGTGATTTCCCTCTAGAATGAAATATATAGCCACTCCAGTCTGAATGCTGGACTAGGACTCTAAGCTACCAGAGTTTGAATCCCTGTTGGCCATGGATCCTTAGGCAAATCACACTCCCTCAGCCTTTAGGTAGACAATGGCAAGCTGTCTCTGAACAAATCTTGCAAAGGAAATCCATAATAAGGTTGCTTTAGGGTCACTGTAAGTCTAAAATTACTTGAATCAGCACAATAACAGCAAGAATACATCAACCCTGCACCAAGATGTCCCATCTTCAACTCTTGATTATTTGCAAGGTTATAAAAATACATTAAACATTATCATACAATTTCAATAAATGTCTCCGTTCAAATCCAATACTACTGGGGGGATAAAAAATATTTCCTGTTTTAACTTGGTGTGTCAGTCTGATTTTAAATGGAGTGAATGTCAGCACTTTTGGAACTGGGAAATATGTGTGGCTCTAGGGAGAAGAGGTCAGGAATTTGATTCACACCAATTTAAATGAAAAGGAGTAAGTGAAGATTAGAGTTATGAGCATGCCGCTCCCATGCTATAGCAATTAGCAAAGAGGACGCTTAAGGACCAATGGTGGAATATCTTCATGTAATCTGGATAAATTTACAAGCTTTTTAATAGGAAAAAATCCTCATTGTGGAATGGCCCTCTTACCTCCTCCATGATTTCCTTTGCAATTGTGTCAGTACAATTAAAACTGTTTAAACACACAGTATTTATTTATTTATTTATTTGCTTCACTTTTATACCGCATATTTCAGCCTTTAGCAGGCGATGTTATATTAAACATCCTGAAAGCATTTCGTGTTTATTGCAAGTTGTTTTGTTCTAGAGTAGTCTGAATGAAAGCAATCAATGTCCACTGTCATAAAAGAAACTGAATGCAAACTGAACTACTTGTTAGCAATGTGAATCTTTGCTTGTTTAATTCCATTTTCTTTTAGCACTGCAAAAGCACATCAAGAATAAAAGAAGTTGACTGGGTTGATAGGAGTAAAAAATAATCTCTCTTTAGGAGTAATTGAAAGATAGCATTTGATAAACTACTGTGGTTGTATGCAGAATCTATCCCACCTTTTCTTCTGTATTGGCGCCACCTGACCACACCGTTTTTGATTGATTATTTATTTATTTATCAAGTCAGAAGCAAATTGCCAATAGAATTATGATGTATAAAAAAACAAACAAAGATTTAAAAACTTGGCATTATATTAGTTTGTTTTTTTTTTTTTACCAGAAACTGGCCACTTGGAGTGCCTCTGGTGTCGCTGAAAGAAGGTCCTCCATTGTGCATGCGGCAGGGCTCAGATTGGTTTGTTGAAAGTAGTCTGTGGTTTGCTCTTCTCCACACTCGCATGTCGTGGACTCCACTTTATAGTCCCATTTCTTAAAATTGGCTCTGCATCTCGTGGTGCCAAAGTGCAGTCCGTTCAGTGCCTCCAAGTCACCCAGTCTTCTGTGTGTCCAGGAATCACAGAATCCTAGAGTTGGAAGAGACCTCATGGGCCATCCAGTCCAACTCCCTGCCAAGAATCAGGAATATTGCATGAGGGAGTTTCTCATCCTTTCTCAGCCACTGATTGAGGTTCCGGGTTTTAACCTGCCACTTTTGGACTTTTGCTTGCTGAGGTGTTCCTGTGAGCACCTCTGTAAATCTTAGGAAGCTTTTTCTTGAGTCAAGTCATTGGCATGCTAGTTGATATCCGAACAGAGGATGGGCCAGAGATGTCCATGCCTTGGTCCTTTCATTGCTGGCTGCTACTTCCCGGTGGATGTCAGATTGTGCAATACTGTCTAAGCAGTATAATTTCTCTAGTGGTGTTGGGTGTAGACATCCTGTAATAATGCAGCATGACTCATTAAGAGCCACATCCACTGTTTTAGTGTGATGAGATGTGTTCCACTGGGCAAGCATTTTCAGCAGCAGAGTAGCAAAGCACAAGGGCAGATGTCTTCACCACATCTGGTTGTGATCCTCAGGTTGTGCCAGTCAGCTTTCATATGGTATTATTTCTAGCATCCATTTTTGCTTGATATTCAAGCAGTGCTTCTTATAAGTCAGAGCACTGTCCAGGGTGACTCCTAGGTATTTTGGTGTGCTGCAATGCTCCAGTAGGATTCCTTCACAGGTAATCCTCAGAGCTCGAGATGCTTGTCTGTTCTTAAGATGAAAAATACATGTTTGCATTTTAGATGGATTAGGAATCAGTTGGTTTTTCCTGTAATAGGCAGTAAGGGAATATAAAGCTTTGGAGAGATTCTGTTCGACCATTTCAAAGCTCACTGCTTGAGCAGTGATGGCATGATTGTTAGCATAGATGAAACTCTCTGTCCCTTCTGACAGTGGCTGATCATTTGTGTAAATGTTAGACATTGATGGAGGAAGCACGCTTCCCTGAGGCAGGCCAAGCTCCTGTTTTGAAGCAGATTTCCTATAAAGCAGGTGGGGTGGTAATCCTTTGTGATATTATACATTTTTCTCAAAAGGAGGCGATGATTTACAGTATCATAAGCTGCTGACAGCCTATGATGACAGTGCCTGTAATAAGTTGATTGACTGATCCACAGCTATAGCTATATGATAACAGATTATGTTGCTTTTTTAAGTAAAAAAAGAGGGAAGATTTGAGTGGTACTTTGCTGGTCAGTACAAAACTTTCAAATTGGTAACAGATTGCTTTCATCTGATTAACTGCATTATGCAGCATTGTGCAGAGAACAGACAATTAGCTGGCCAAAACCTCTAATAAGCAAATGATAAACCAGAAAAAGGTGGATACAAATATGAAAGCTTACTGTGCAGTCAGCACACCAGACATTTGGCTCCTTTCCCATTTGTCCTCAAGACCATGTTCATACTGTTCCCACCCAAAGCCAGACTGTATTTCTTCCAGGCAGCATTGTTCTACATTCTCATAACAAGCAGGCAATGGCTATTAACCAAAAGAGCTCAGCACAAAAGCCTCATTGAAACCTCAAACAGAAAAAACCAGAAAAAAATAAAAGACACTGGAAGGAAGAAAGGAAGAACTTGGAGTTCTGACCTTTTGAAAGATATGAAGGAACAACCTTCCACTGCACCATTCAGTATTTCATTTCTAATTATGAAACTACAAAAAACTTCTAACAGCTTAGCTAAAGCTCTTTAATGATATTTACAATACTATTCTTGATATGATTCCTTAGAACTCTGTTCTACAGTAATCAGTGAGCTTTCTTTCCTTCTGCAGCATTAAAATCTGCAGAAGAGTATTTGTGTGGGAAATGTCAATGCTGAAACAAGATAATCCTTTTGCACCCACCTCATTCATCAAAAACACCACTGTATTCGAATCATGCAGTTGGAAGAGACCTCATGGGCCATCCAGTCTAACCCCCTGCCAAGAAGCAGGAAAATCGCATTCAAAGCACCCCCCGACAGACCGCCATCCAGTCTCTGTTTAAAAACCTCCAAAGAAGGTGCCTCCACCACACTCCGGGACAGAGAGTTCCACTGCTGAACAGCTCTCACAGTCAGGAAGTTCTTCCTAATGTTCAGGTGGAATCTCCTTAATGTGGTATTCTGCCACATTTGCCATCATGCATATTGCAAGAAAACTATCATTTAGGCAGCACTATAAATATCCTCTGATGAGGCAAGACAGATGAACTGAAGAAAGTTAAACTCTAAATGCTATGTTCTCCATTGTGTATGTACACACAGATACTTTCCCACCCAGCCCTCAGAAGACATGGATAAGAACTGACAAGAGGAGATGTAAGATATTGTGACATTAAATCACTTTTAATCTTGGAACAAGCAATGTAATTTTACTTTCAGGAAAAATGCCATCTCATTTGTGCTGGGAGTGCAGCTGAA